CTCTGAAAGAAGAGTTCCAAATTTAAGGATACTTACCATTTTCTTAGAGTTAGTGTACAGGTGTGAAGAATCTGCATTCCCATCACCTGTGATACATCGTGAAATATGGCTGTTGGTCCCATTTTATAGATAGGAAATTGAAGTTGGGAGAGAGACCATTATGGGGTGAAATTTAAAACTGTAGATCACTTTTTCTTTCTGAGGCTACAGTATTTATTTGAATAACTGAATTGATGACACAGTACTTCAAATAAACCTATCTATCCGCATGTACCCACCAAGAAAGATTCCTTCTAAATGCTTTATGGATTATTACCTGTGACGTAGGCTAGCATCTCCTGAGTATATCAGTCACCAGTCTGATTCTAAGCATATTTAGTCTGCAATCCTAAATACACATGACTGGGAGTAGAAAGACACTTAATTTCCTGGGATTTATTTTTTCCTTTTTGCTTCTGCATAAACATGGGTAGGGTCTTTCATCTGACTGTGCAACCATGCTTGCTTCCGAGTAACACCGCTTAGGAACTGACTGTTCGACTTGCATAGCTACAAAAGCTTGAGGCGCTCGGTGGGCTTCTCTTAACTATTGTGTGCTCGGGATTGAAATCTTAAAAGGTCAGTAGCGAGGAAAACTAATTACAGGGTAATCTTACACCCCGCTGCTGAGGAGCCAGTCTCACAGAGCCAGCGAAGTATCCACCTTCCCAGAGATGTGCGGGTTTAGGATTCGAATCTTAGAGACCCTCACGAGAGGATCAAATGCAAACGTAAAGCTTCCCTTAGCAACCGCCATTGGTGTGTTCGTGTTCGTGCGCGCGCGTAGAGAAAAAGAAAGGGTAGTGTTGAGACAAAATAGGAGGGGCGCGCGTAGTTCCTCCCCACCTAAGATACCAACTGTTGAACAGCACTTAAGGGGGGCGGGCTGGATAGAGCAACGGGAATGGCTTCTCTCCAGAGCTAGGATTTACGTATCGAATTGCGCTGCGACCGGTGCTGATGTGGGGTAAATCCCCCCCCCCCCGTGCTCAGTAAATGTCTCGTGGACCCGGGCCGTGCATCAATTTCTGGAGAAGGGTTGGGAGGCTTTCCCCTCCGCTTTGCTGAGGATGCAGCTGCCGAGGAAGCGTTGGGATGCTTTCGAAGCAGCTGGTCCAGCCTCTCCGGAAAGTGAAGGACCTTTTGCGCCGCGCGGCCTAGCCGGAGGGATGGGAAGGGAGCGAATCTGGCCAATTTTGGGACGCTCCTATTTAGATGCAAATGGCGACCTCTTCCGCTCCAGGGGACTGGAGGCCATTCAGCGAAATGTTAACGGTAAAGCCAAGGCCAGATCTTGAGCGCCGGGCCGCAGCCCCAGGGGGCTTGCTTGTCTCCAGAGAGCAAACGCTGCAGAGGAAGGAGACCGGCCTACGACAGGAGACCTCGCTTTCCAGGGAAAGCAAGCGCCAGGCGAGCAGGAGAATCTGGCTTAAGGGCTTTGAGGAGTTGAAGAAAGGGCCTTTCCCGCGAGGGACGTCAGGTGGCACTGGGAAATGGGCAGCCGGAGACAAGGGAGAAAGAGTGCCTCTCTCGGATGCCCGTCCTGCCCAGATCGAGGAGTGTGGCCTCGGAAGCCTCCTTGGCTTCAGTTGGGTGAGAAAAGTTGTCCTCGCGCCCTCGTAGCGGAATGGCAGCTCCGCGCGGGCGGCGAATGGCCCGTTCAAGGGGCGTCCGAGAGACCCCCCCACCCCCCGGTCCCGGCCCCCCCCAGCCTGACCCCTTTCTAG